TATCTATCTATCTATCTATCTATCTATCTATCTATCTATCTATCTATCTATCTATCTATCTAAGTCTTGGTAGCACACATATTTAATTCTGTATCCCAAGTGGCTTCGGCAAGATTCTTAACTCAGGTCTGGGCTAGATAGCCGCCTTCTGGATGAAAAAAAAAAAAAAAATCGATCATATGCAGACTTCAATGAGAATGTCAAATCATAACGCAGTGAAAACGTGAATTCTTAAAACATAATTATTTTTAAAGCATTCAAAAGAATTTAGAACATTAGTTGGCCTCAGCAAGCACTTTTTACCCTAAGTTAGTCTGAGGTGCCTAAACTACACTAAACTACAATTCCCAGAGTACTCTCCTGTATCTGAACTCTGGGGACTTTCGGAAGCTTGGTTTGAGAGGAATTGTGGGTATCTGGAAGAAAGTATCTTGACTTCATCTCCCACAATCCTCTGATATCTTTTGAGTAGTTTAAGATACCTGATAAAACAGGGTCAGATGAAAGGGGAGGAGGTCCTCCCCTATCAGGGGACTTGGAAAGGGGCAGGGAGGAGACCAGGGAGGGAGTGTGGGGTTGGGGAGGGAATGAGGGAGCGGGATACAGCTGGGACACAGAGTTAACAAAATGTAACTAAAAAGAAAAAAAAAAATGCTGCAAATAAGAGGAAACCAAAGATTATCAGAGAGCATCAGAAGAAAACATTTGGGCACAGAAAATCCAAAGAACACTGAATAAATTGCGCACCTCCACAGGGATTTACATGCTGGCAAATCTGCTCCCTGAGCTCCCATGAGAAGCACAGAAGAGAAGCCTGGAACTTAGTGAAGGTGATAAACCAGCTTCACATATCCTATGATGATTCATTCAGGTATATAATTACAGGAGGGTGAAAACAATAAAATGCAAATTTATAAAAAAAAAAAAAAAAAAGAAAATATTGGATAGTTCTAAGCAAGCAGGCGCTCCAGTGATTTCAAACTACATTTCCCAGGAGTACACGCGTTTAGGCCTTGTGCTTCCTCGATGTCCAATAGCCAATAGGAGAGGCCTCAATAGTCACCCTGTAGGTTAGAGTCCCGCCATTGGGCCCCATTTAGTACTGGCCTAGGCCGGCTAACAGAAGTGCCGAGTTGGGAAGACAGTTTTGGGGTATGCAGTGCCCTGAGGGTACTCCCGGTCCAGGAACTTCCGAGTGGGCCCGATTTTCTGCAGCTGTTTAAGGAGTAGCGCTTCGGTAGCCGGGGAGCTGGAGGTCAGCGAGGCAGAAAGCCTGAATGGCAATGGCCGGGATTGTGGGACCGAGGGGGACCTAGGGAGGAGGGTGCTTCCGGGGCCACTGTCTTTGGTGCCTAACTCCGCCCAGCTCCGCTTCTTCAGGGATGGGGGTTTGTGGACTGGGAGTCAGGGAATGGGAACCAGTTGCCTGAGCTTAGAGAACACAAGCCCCTCCCCCCAACTCTTTTGTTTTATTTCTTACCACCACCTGCTCTTTTTCCCACCACCCAGCCTGTACTCTTTCATAGGATGAGAGAGTCTCCAGTAAGCGGGAGTTGGGTGCTGTATTTTTTCTCTCAATTTGTAGCTCAGTTCTGAGCACTTACTACTGTAAGTACACAAACACACTACCAGTTCCCTCAGGGCGAGTGGAAATTCGTCGCTAATACCCAGGACTTGTTTTTTTTATTTTATTTTTTTCTAATTTCCATTTCTGCTTCCTGATGAGATTTAAAAACAAAAAAACATTGGTTCATTTCTCGTTACTGGCCCTTTTCCAACAGTCACTGGAGTGGAAAAGTGTTCTTCAATTTCCTGAAGGGTTAGAGAGCAGGAAAAAAAAAAAAAAATCTTACTTTTGAGAAACACATAATTAAGGTTCTGTGAAGTGTTCTGGTGACAGTAGAAGGCAAATTAGACCTATTTAGACACGTGGAGCATTATAAGAGCTTACAGCAAAGACTAGTTAGTATCAGTGTTGATAAACAGTGGGCACACCATCGACAAAACACAATAGACAGTGTGAAACACATTGAATTAATTGTATTTTACAGATGTGTGCAAAATGTGCTCAAGGCTTACTGGAAGGGCATGTAGATAGGAGTGAGAGGCTGATTTGTGAAAGTTCTAAGCTAACTCAGGACTTGGCAAAGTCTTGAAACTTACTCTTTCTTTAGAACAATCATAGTAGGCTTTGTGGAGGAGGGAACCTTTAATTTGGACTCCAGTGGAATAAAGGAGATTTGAAATGAGCAAAGGAGGAAGGAACTGTTTCCTGATGATTCAAGGGTTAGAGATTAAGAAGGGGGTGGGTAGAAAAGAGAGGGCTGTGTGAAGGGCACATCTGATTATATAAGAGGTATCAGCAGAGATGTATTGGGGATAATACTTGGGAATCATAGTAAAATAACAAGTTGAAGAATATACAAAGTTTGAATTGTAATCTGTATTGAATAAAATTAAAGACAAAAAAATTAAGACTGGGTGATTTTTCCTTTTCATCCTAGGGGAACCTGATTTGAGATCAATTCTTGGAGAACACAAAGAAGTGTGGTGGTATGTTCCACATGTGAGTTTAATTTAAGTATAAAGAGAAACTTTTGTAGATGTTTGTTTGTGGCTATGCTTAGCCACAACCTGTATTTGTCAACTAGAAAGCAAAGTGCCATAAATATATTGAGAAGTGAGTTTGCTATCTTTGTGTAGAAGATTACCTGAATTGTAATTATCTGATTAGACAATAATGATGCCTATTTATTGAGCCCATATAATGTCCTAAGCCTTATCATAGGCATTTTGCTACATTATTTGAGGGTCTTATAACATGTACTATTACTTCCATTATTTCTCTAGAACAAGGAATTAAAATTCACATTTTAAGCAAGTACTTGAGGTTAATTAGATGAGAGATAACTGAAGTGGAGCTTTAGTGTGAAGACTTCTGACGAGAGCCCATGCTCTTTCCCCCATGTTTTCCTAGTTCTGATAAACATTTTTGTTCTAGATTTTCTAATTGTGGCAAGAAAGATTGCTGTAAGGTACAACTGATCATCCTGGAAGAAACCCAAATGAGTAATTTTGGATTTCTTTATCTGAGCATGTCTGCTGTAAAGTACTTGCCAATACCAAATTAGCTTACCTGCTTTTATAACCATAGTTGATTATGTCTGCCAACATTATAGTCAGTATATTCTTTTCTAAATTAGATGATTCCATACAAAAGCCGAAATGAAATAAAAACCAAAGAATTGTGTATAACCAAAAAGCTTAGAGGTAGGATATAGCTTTTCTATGCTCTGAAATGCAGAAGATTCAACTGAATACAAGGCCTGACCCCTCACTGGGTCTAGGGGCTAGGTAAACACAATTCTGAGGTACCATAGAGTAGAAAATTGTGGGAGAATAGAATACAGTTATAAAACACTGGTAGAATAGATGAAAGAGTAGCTGAGTAGAGGAGAGAGTTAGGGAGATGAGTTTTGTCAGGAGGTGACTTGGTAGATAGGTCTTGAAGGGTAAGGAATTTGCCAGACAAAGAAGGGTAGAGAAGATCCATTGAAGATAAAGGAATCAGTCTGTGAGTATGGGTGGGATGTGTTTTTTCAATATGAACAGTTCATCACAGCTAGATATGAATGGTGTGGGACAAGGAAGGTTCAAGCAAAGTCTGCTATAGAATTTTGAGGGTGATTTTCGTAGAATCAGCTGTAATGCTAAAAACTATGAATGTGTTCCTATAGGCCCACTGACTCTCAAAATGTCAGATATGGACCAGATATAGCTTTGTTGTGCTCCCCCACACATTTTAGATTTCATTGGTTGCAGATTTGAATGTATCTGGTAAAAATAAATTTGGATTAGTTTATCAAATCTAAGATTACATAGACCTTGTTTAATAAAAATAAATACACTAAGTTGATTTAAGGATAAGTATTAAGTAAGTAATAGTATGAAGATGTTAAACATCACCGAGTTCGAACCTCATGTAATTGGATGTAAGCAATACAGTTGTAGTCAATAGACAATTACTCAACATTTTCAGGAAAGGAACACAGCAAGCAGATGATCACATTTGTAAGGTGACAATGGAAAGGATGCACTGGAGGGAGGCATGATCATTGTGAATGTTGGGTGTTTTCCTTCAGAGCGATTTATAATTAGCGACATGGTAGAGGAGGAAACAGAGGGGAGGGAATTAGTAGCATTTGGTATATGTAAATATTATTCTATTAGTGTTGCTATTTGCTTGTTCTTTATATTTTATGATGAGCATAGTATTGTCATAGCATGCAATTTCATGTATTAAGGTAAAAGCGGGGGATGGTTACTATTCAAGAGAGTAGATTTGGATTATGTAAAGCACCCCTCATGCCTCACTGAGTGTTCCTGAGAGTCTTTAAAGTTCAATTGAAATATGACCATCTCTGGGAAGGCTTGCCAAGAAACGCTCTACATAAGCCTAAATATACACACAAGACATTGTTAGTGTTCTCACTTTTGTAGGACACATGTTGCCTCTATTCCAGACTGGGTCATAATGGAGTGTGCCATTCTGTGGATGTTTCTTAGAAGTAGATTGTGAGCTCCTTGAGGGCAGGAACATCTCATTAATCTGTATACACTTAGAGTATTTGGGACAGTGTATATTTAACAAGTGGTTATTGTTTGACAAAAAGTAACAAATATTCACATGGATGCAACTGTGGACCTTGGTAATGCATGATATTAAAAAGTATGAAAAATGTAGATTGACATACAGAAGTTTGCTGCAGTTGTTACTTTTACTGGATTGAACAGTTAAAATGAGCTTTTGTTGTTGTTTTTGTTTTTGTTTTTAGACAGGGTTTCTCTGTGTAGCCTTGGCTGTCCTGAACTTACTCTGTAGACCAGGCTGGCCTCAAACTCACAGAGATCCACCTGCCTCTGCCTCCCCAATTGCTGGGATTAAAGGTGTATGAAGCCACACCAGGCTGTACTTTCACTTTTTTATTTTAGGTATAATTGTTACCTTTTTCTTTCCCATAGCTTAAATATGTCAGGCCTGTTTTATTTACTTTTTTTGACAGAGGGATCACATTTTTCCTTTCTTGTTACTTTCTTAGGAAACATCTTCTTTATCTACCAATTCCATTTGGTTTTATCTTAGGTATCAATCTCTAATGCATCTTCTCTCAGTCATATATATTGGTAGTGGGCTGATAATTTTATTCAGCTCTTTTGTGAAAGTGATTTGTCAATATGAGTCAGAAATTCTCAAACAGAACATAGTCTTCAATCATCAACTTCTTGAGCTGTATGCTGAAGAAGCAATCACTCTTCCTAAAATTTAGCTTTTAGCTACTCTAGAACTGTTTGTCATAGTGTCAAAAAAGAGGGAAAAATGGCATCCTAAATACCCAGTACTGGAAGTTTGAATGAAATAAATTGTGAATTATTAAGTAGCCATGAAATTGGATGTTGCCAAAATGTATTTCATGGTGTAGGAATCTGTTTGTGATACATCAAGAGAAAATTCAGGCCATAGAATTCCTAGTAGAGCGAAGCAGATTCCAACTTAAACATGTGTACTTATCTTACAAATGACATATAAATCTGAATATACACACACAGGAAAATTGCCATAAAGTTAAAAATAGATTAAATAGATTAATAAGGATGTGCTACAAATGATACGATTACATATAACTTACACTTTTTAGCTTTTGTATATGCTTATTCTATACTTTCCAAGGAAAAATTTCTAAGTTTTTTCTTTTTTTTATTATTGTTTATTATTATTAGTTACATTTTATTAACTCTGTATCCCAGCTGTATCCCGCTCCTTTATTCCCTCCCAATCCCACCCTCCCTCCCTGAGCTTCTCCCTGCCCCTTTCCAAGTCCATGGATTGGGGTGGACCTCCTACCCTTTCGTCTGGCCCTGTTTTATCAGGTATCTTCAGGACTGGCTGCAAAGTCCTCCTCTGTGGCCTAGCAGGACTGCTCCTCCCTTAGGGAGTGGGGAGGTCAAAGAGCCTGCCATTGAGTTCCTGTCAGAGATAGTCCCTGTTCCTCTTACTATGGGAAACCAATTGGTTATTGAGCTACTACGAGCTTCGTCGGAGCAAAGGTTCTAGGTTATATCCATACATGGTCTTTGGTTGGAGAAACAGTTTCAGAAAAAAAAACCTGTGCCCAGATATATTTGGTCCTTGTGGGGCTCCTATCTTTTCCACGTCATACCAACTCTCCTGCCGAAGGTTTGGTTATGAGTCTTAGTATCTGTTTTGAAACGCTGCTTGGTAGAGTCTTTCAGATGCCTTCTGCAGTAGACTCCTGTCATACGTCCAATGCACATCTCATTTGTCTTTCCAAGTGAGGATTGATCATCTTACCCCGTGTCTGCTTTCTTGTTTATCTTCTTTAGGTGTATAGACTTCATTATGTTTATCATATCTTGTAGGTCTATATAAGCGAGTATATACCATGTTTGTCTTTCTCCTTTTGGGATACTTCACTCAGAATGATCTTTTCTAGATCCCACCATTTGCCTGCAAATTTCATGATTTCCTCATTTTTGATTGCTGAGTAATATTCCATTGTGTAAAAATACCACAATTTCTGTATCCATTCCTCCGTTGATGGACATCTGGGTTGTTTCCAGGTTCTGGCTATTACAAGTAAAGCTGCTACAAACATGGTTGAGCAAATGTCCTTGTTGTGTACTTGAGCAAATTTTGGGTATATACCTAGCAGTGGTATATCTGGATCTTGAGGAAGCGTTATTCCCAATTGAATAAGCGTCAGATTGACTTCCAAAGTGGTTGTACTAGTGTACATTCCCACCAGCAATGGAGGAGGGTTCCCCTTTCTCCACAACCTCTCCAGCATGTGTTGTCCCTTGAGTTTTTCATCTTGGCTATTCTAATGGGTGTAAGGTGAAATCTCAGGGTCATTTTGATTTGCATTTCCCTAATGGCTAATGAGGTTGAGCATTTCTTTAAGTGTTTCTCAGCCATTTGCTATTCCTCTGTCGAGAATTCTCTGTTTAGCTCTGTTCCCCATTTTTTAAATTGGATTACTTGGTTTGTTGCTTTTCAGCTTCTTTAGTTCTTTATATATACTGGATATTAGCCCTCTGTCAGATAAAGGGTTGGTGAAGATTCTTTCCCAATCTGTAGGCAGACATTTTGTTTTGATGACAGTGTCCTTTGCTTTACAGAAGCTTTTCAGTTTCATGAGGTCCCAGTTATTGATTGTTGCTCTTAGAGCCTGTGCTTTTGGTATTCTGTTCAGGAAGTTGTCTCCTGTGCCAATGAGATCAAGACTCTTCCCCACTTTTTAATCTAGCACGCTTAGTGTGTCTGGTTTTATGTTGAGGTATTTGACCAACTTGGACTTTAGTTTTGTGCAGGGTGATAAATATGGATCTATTTGCATTTTTCTATATATAGATATCCAGTTAGTCCAGCACCATTTGTTGAAGATGCTCTCTTTTTTCCATTGTTTGGTTTTGGCTTCTTTGTCAATAACCAAGTATCAGTAAGTATGTGAGTTTATTTCTGGGTCTTCTACTCAAAACCATTGATCC